TTCCCCCAACAAAGGACACAGACGAAGGACTTTTTCCCTTGATGGAGGACTCTGAGAAATTATTTTTTCCCTCTGATGGAGGAGTCCAACGACAACTCCTCCCAACAGAGGACTCCAGCAGAAGAAGTTTTTGCGAAACTTAGCAACACAAAAGACTAAATCATCCCTTACTACGCTTTTAAAGTAAGGGTAATATTATAATTTATTGGTATTACAATTCACTACCACGATTAGGGCTGTTAAAACGGCTCGTTATTCATGAACAACTCGTATTCGACTCATTAAAAAGCTCGTGTTCGGCTCATTCACTAAGTTAACGAGCCGAACACAAACACCACAAACAAATATTTGTTCGTTCGTGTTCGGCTTGTTTTGACTCGAAATATCACTAATCAATTATCTACATATCTTTGTTGAGTAATCTTTTTTAAAAATTTAGTTGACTACAAGGCTACAAAGATTTATAATAAATTAAAAGTATTAATGAAAAAAATAGAATAAAAATTATTAAATTAGATTCAAATGATGTTTAAATCTTACACTAATCATTAACATCCGATGGCTACGTGATTAGGGCTGTCAAAATTACTCTTTGTTTATGAATGACTCGTGTTCGGCTCAGCAAACGAGTCGAACACGAACAAACTTTTTGAGCTTGAAATATAAACGAGCCGCTCGTGTTCGGCTCGTTTCGTGATCGGCTCGTTTACACCCCTAACCACGATCTACGCAACCAAATATGGCTTAAGTGGCTCATGGCTCATGCAGCTCCCTACTACGACCTCTGTGGTCAACTAATGCTCCTAAAGTAAACATTTATGGCCTACATGACCAACATCTATCAAAGCTTTCAACTACGGTCTCTACGACAAGGTGTGCAACCATAGCCTACAACATTCTTGACGAGCTACTGTCTTCATTGCAACCGACTACGACCCTTGCAACCTACTGTCATCAAAAACCACATTTATTGCAGTCACATTATGATTACTATTTATAAACTATTGTTGTGCATCTACGATGAACGATTGTGTAACTCCATTTTCCATAATTCAAAATAATAGCAGATCTGAGTACTTATAAATATTTAGTGATGATTTTTTCCATTTTTAAGGGTTTTCTACACAAAAAATTGAGATGTCTCATCCTACTCACTTCGCTTTTATTATCATAGAGCATGCCGAATTCTCGTACAATGCTAAAACGCTAAATAATCACTCTATCGCCATAAATATTTCAACACTCATCAATAGTATAATGGATATAAATTGTATTATTTCTCCTTCTGTTGAAGTAAAAATCAACTATAAAAAGTGCAACTTATCAATTCATATTTGGAAAAAAGTGACTATACGAACGATATGGTTTTCAAAACAAGCATTTTGTTCGCTTGTATGTTCGTGTTGTGGATCTGGTGGCGACTAATTCCTTCTAAATCTCTTTTTGTGAATTCCAAGTAATGTTGGCTTGCAAACATTTAATCCATCAATGGATGAATTTTGAATGTTCGATCAAACCATATTCGTACTCAATAAGAGGTCTCCTACTTCATCGCAAGCCCTGCTAGAGTTCTAACACAAACTTTAATTGAATTTTATTTATATCTATTAAATACATTTAAATAAAACTTTTTGATCAAATATGTTATTATAATATTAAGTTTCATATCAAGTTTGGCTGTTTTTAGTAAAATATTTATAGCTTGTACTAACATTTTGATTTTTCTGGCCTAATTTAAAAAAAAAAATGTGAGGCAAAATTATTAATGAAGGAAAAAAAATTAAATGCACGACTAATTTTAGATGTAAAAACCTAAAATAAAGTTAAACTTTATTGTAGATGTCGCCCACCTAAAATACCTAATAAAAAATCTTGAATAAATAATTGCTATTATTAAAAATTATGCTTTATATATATCTCCAAGTGTCTAGTACCCTTGGTTGACATCCATGATAAAAAACCCCTCAGGTTAAGAGTTCGAATCTCCTCTGGCACAGTTGGCACTAAGGAGGCGGTACTTAAATTGTTAGATACATTAGGTGTGGTTGGAGGATCGTATGTCTTTGGCTATATATATATATATATATATATAAAATGCCTAAACTTACTTTTTATATTAATAGCACTAAAATTTTCGGTATCACGGCAACGTTTATCTGCTATTTCAAATCCTGCAATCATAGCCATTGGTGTTCAATAAATCAATTGATTTTACTAAGTTGAAAAATATTATACATGATGGATCGATTTGGCTAGGACTGCAAACGAGCCAACCTTGAGAGAGAGAGCCCATGCTCGTTAAATAATCATTATTCTCATTCGGCTCGTTTATATATCGAGAGCAAAAAATTTGTTAGTGTCAACACGGGTTGTTCGCGAACAACGAGTCATTTTAAAAGCCGTAGTCACATAGCCGCGAAATATTAAGGATAGAGCAAGATTTAAAATTTATTATTTATATTAAAATATTCATTTAAATAGAACTTAATATATTTTTATTTTATTTTTTTAATTAATTATAAATCTTTGTAGCCTTATAGCCAAATAAATTATTTTAAAAAATACCCATCAATTATATATATATATATATAATTTAATTATTTCGAGCCAAAACGAGTCCAACAAGTACGAATAAATTTTCATTCTTGTTCGGCTCATTTATATATCGAGAGCAAAAAATCATATATAATATTATTTAAAGCGAGAACGAGCCAAACACAACTGAAGAATTTATTGTTCATGTTCTGCTCTTTTATAAATCAAGTACAAAAAGTTTGTTTGTGTTTGACTCATTTGCCTAGCGAACGAATCGAGCACGACTACTTAACTAGTCAAACAAGAGTTATTTGCAAATAACAAGCCATTTTGAGAGCACTAGACTTGACTGAACAAGCATATCTAATATATGATAGACACACCACATTCATGCGAAATTTAAAATAATGCATTTTAAATTTTGTGCATTTTAAATTTTGTGATGGAAATACTCATAATAATTAATATGAAAGCATAAGTCACCAACAAATTTTCATCATCCGACACGAATCTCGAAGTATAACACAAATCTCAAGATAATATTTTAAGCAAGAAATATTTAAATCTTGTTAAAAAGTATTCAAATCTTGATAAAAATTGATCCATAGATTTCAACAAACTTATAGTCAAACCGACCGACTCGATGAAACAGACCTAATGATATAAAAACTAGTCTAATCTGAGCCAAATCAAGCTCAGATCAAGTCATTAAACCACCCTTGGAAGATTTCCGAACTCATTTGGAAAGTTAAACGGTTGTCAAATATGGCAAGTTTATACTCAAATCGAGCGGCTCAACAAGAAGAATCCAACAAGCCCAAGATCACTCAATTTTGACATCGTTAAGACACTCAAATGTCCATTAAACGCCGTATCATCGAGGGAAGCTCTCTGGACCGTCCGATCAAAATTGTTGATATTTCTGCATTAATTGCACTCAGACCACTATAAATAGACCCCCACTCTGGAGAGAGAGTCTGAGAACTTGAGGAGAAGTTGCAGTTCAGCATCACCGTCGATCGTCATCGAACACCGCCGACCTCCGTCGTCAACCACCGCTGACCGTTGACGACCACCGCTGACCTCCGACGACCACTGCCGACGGTCGTCGACCACCGCCGACGTCGTCGACCTCTGACAACCGTCATCGACTACCACTAACCACCATCGATCACCACCAACTAGACGCCGTCAGTCGGCGTTGTAATCTAAAAAATATTGTTATCATTCCCCGTCTGTGGGACAAGGGATTCCTGTAATGAACAATCAATAGTGGATTTTCGCAACTGGGTCAAGCCCCGTGGTTTTTCCCTTACGTGTTTTCCACCTAAGAACTTCTAAAGTCATCACCGCTTGTTTCTATTTCATCTGTGTGTGCTGAACTTTCTTACAACGCTAAGACGATAGTCCGTTACTCTACCGTCGCGAATTTTCTAGCACGTATCAATACTCATTTATGAATTTCTTATTTTCAATTAAAAATGTAAATTATTTTTTTTTAGTAAATATTAAATTAGGGCGTAATTACCATAAGTTGAGGGCCACTGAATGATATCAACAATATTGAGTAGATAATATCGTGTAGGAAATTTGAATTATTCAAATTATCATATTTAACTGATGTTGAATGTCCACGAAGAATTTTGTCACCGCACCCACTATGTCGATGACTTTATAATCGATTAATGCAATAACTTAGCCAAATATCTTGTCCCGATTATCTTCACAAACTCCTGTCAGAATCCCAATTACTATGCCTACTTTTCGTCGACTGGAAGCACAACAACTTTTCTCAAAATGCAAAAAAAAAAAAAGAAAATCCACACGGCTCAGATAAAATAAAACCTTAAGAAATACTAAAATCGAGGTTATTTACAATTTGAGTGTACGAGCTCGAAAAATCGTTAACTCTAGCGAAAATGAGATTGGAGAGCGTTTGGCGTTCGGTCGACTCCGAAACGGAAGCACCCTCATGAGAATGAAATGAGGGACTTTGGATGTTGGTTTGATATAAAGACCATTTCCAAAGGCCTTCCAATAAACATTTGATCATCGATTACGATATTCTTAAAAACCTGATTGATTTGACCATCGGTTCAAATTACATGACCATCAGTTATTAAAAGCGCAAGAAATTGCAGCATGACTTTTTGACGAGTTATGATTGTCACTTTATAATTTGCTATGAACCGATGGTTTGGACCATCGGTAATCTGTCGAAGGTTAATTCACTTGAAACCCAAGGCTAAACCGACAAGTAATTCTTCGTTTAAATTAAACATCGTTCAGTCATTAAAAAATAAAGGTAGAATTACCTACGCACTCTAGATTGTTGGTTTTTTCACCTGTTTAAACTATTTTTCAGTGTAACTTATTCATGCAGCTTACTGAAAGCAAAAATCTTTGTATTTCTGTAACACACTTTAATACAAATAGAGAACATATTTTCCAACCTATTTCTTTAATCATGCATTTGACTTGTCAATGTCCACAGAGTGCAAAACTCAAATTTTGGGGATTCCAGCTTTGTCATATGGATTGCAACTTGCATATTCTTTGCATAAACAAAACTTTTATTCTACTTTATCATCCATACGGAAATATAATTTGTTAATCATAAGCTTGCCCTCCAAAGGTAATGCATACTGAATATGATAAAAAAAATGTTGTAAGGAAAAGATAGAAACACATTATAGTTATTTAGATCAAATATTTGATGTACTCTTGGAGCATCCTGTCTACTATAGCCATATAGGCTTTTTCTGTTGGGTGAAAACTATCCCAAAATATGTATTTTGTATCATCAGAGCATACATGTGACTTGTTATTGCATAGTATTCCAACTTCAAACGCTCCTGTTCCACAACATCCTTTATCTGAGACTTCAAATCCTGCAGCCATAAGCATTATATATAGTTTATTATGTAGCTTTTTAAGTATTTACTAAAGAATATATATGCTATGATGCAAAAATATGAGCATACAAACATAAAAATATAGCAATATGCGATACATATATAAATACCATATAGAGAGGGCCTCTGAATGATATCAAACAGTATTGTGTAGATATTAATGTAGACAAGCTTTTTGTCTCTAAAATTTGTTGCCAAGCTTTTAATTTCTGCGCTAATTTTGGAATTATAGAGCAAAGCTGCCTGATTATGAGCTTCTACACATTCTCGAGCAGTATATCCTGCAAAACTTATTTGTGAAGGCAAGCAGCCTATTGGAGGGAGACCAATAAATCCAATCCTACGTGCCCCCATTTTGTACAGTTTCTGTAATAAGGTGACAGAATGCATGAGAGCTATATATCATACAAATCGACGTGCTAAATTGCATAAATAATTCATTCATTTGTATATTATAGAATGCAGAATGAATTTTATTAATTATTTTTGCTTTTCAATTCTCAGTAACATGCAAAATATATATGCTTAATTATGTTTTTAGATATCTAACATCTAAAGTTTAATTTTTATATTTATGTTGAAGAAAAATAGGACCGCTCGACACCTCAAGAAAACCAAGAACTGCACTGCGGAACACCCGAAGAAAACCAAGAACTGGACTATCGAATAGAAAGAAACAAAAAATGTCGAACACCTCCTTAACAGCCGAAGGAGAGTGAAATTGCAGCAAAGATAATATGCAAACAAGAAACAATAACACCCAAGAATTACATGGTTCGGTCCATAACACCTACATCCATGGGAAGAAAATCAACCATAAAATCTACTAAGGCAATAAAGAAGAATTAAAAGACTTTTACATTGAAGAATGAGCTCTTATCTTGTCATGATATCTCTCTCGAATCACCTCGATACAAGATCTCCAAGACAAGACCCTCCCCCTCAATTCTTGAAGCCTCTCCTCTTCTTTCTCTAACCAATTGATTTGTTTTCCCTTGGTCCCCATCTCTACAAGCCTCCCTCATTTATTTATAACAAAATGAGGCCTCCCAAGTAGACCCGATTCACCAATTGAAAACTTCTATGAATCTTTAACAACTTCTATGAAATTACAGGTTTTCCATTGCCTTAGTTAGCCAATTGTGAGTCATTGTAACAATTCTCCATCTTGATTCTTAATTACAAAATCTTGAATAGAGATTCCCTCCACCTAGCCTCGAGGGGCCTTTAGTTCAGGATGTCATTCTTCTCTTTCTTGTCCATCTCAGCCGACAATGTCACTGCCCTTGCAAAGTTTCTATGGCACATTGTTGCACCAATAGAGCTCTCATCTTGACTCTCCACAGGCTGAAATCATTCTTTCCGGTGAATTTATCGAGGTCAAATTTGGCGAATCCCATTGTTGTGGCTAGAAATCCCACAAACGGCGCCAATTGTTGAAGAAAAATAGGAAAAAAACCAAGAACTGCACTGCCGAATATCTAAACAAAAAGTGTTGAACACTCCTTGACAGTCAAAGGAGAGTGAAACCGCAACTGACAAAAAAAAGATAATATGCAAATAAGAAACAAGAACACCTAAGAATTACGTGTTTCGGACCATAGGACCTACGTTCACGATAGAGAAATCAACCATCAAATTCACTAAGACAATAAAGAAGAATTACAAGTTTTTTACATTGAGGAATGAGCTCTCATCTTGCCACGATCTCTCTCTCGAATCTCCTCGATACAAGATATCCAAGATTAATGAGTTCTCATTTTGTCATGATTTATCTCTCAAATCACCTTGATACAAGATCTCCAAAATCCTCTCCCTCAATTATTGAAGCATCTAATCTTCTTTCTCTAACCAATTGATTTGTTTTCCCTTTTGTCTCCTCTCTACAAGTCTGCCTCACTATTTATAACATAATGAGTTTTCTCAAGTAAACCCGGTTCACCAATTGGTAGCTTCTATGATTCTTTAACAGCTTTTATGTAATTACAAGTTTTTCATTGCCTTAATCTAGTACTTGCGAGTAATTGTAACAATTTATGACACTCAAACTTTTACTATCATATCAAAATATCAATATTAATACATATAGATAGTGATCAATGGTGGTCGGCGACGATCGATGGTAGATGTTGGTTGGCGGTTGGAGATGGCGGATGGCGGTTGTCGATGGCAACAGAAGTGGTGCAGGACTCCAGCTTCTTTTCAGACTTCAAGTTCTTCCTCAGGCCACAAGCTCCCCTCCCATCTCATAAGAGGGTATGACTCTATTAATAGAGTTCTGGATGTAATTAATGCAGAACTATAAACCACTTTGATCTGTCGACTTAGATAACTTATTTCGATCAAACAACATTTGATGAACATTTAAATATTTCTTGCTCAAAAGATTGCCTCAATATCTGTATCATGCCTCGAGATGCATGTTGGATGATAGAAATTTTGTTGGTGGCAGGCATATCATAGTATTTTTGGAGAAACTGCTTCTTAATGTCTTTTCTTAACTCTCAGGAACACTACTCTTATGCATTTATTTGCAAACTTCTATTTGTTTCATCAAATTCCTTATTTTGTAGTACTTTTAAGTTCTTCAGTACAGAGACTTTAATATTATGATAACCAGATAGAAATTTATCATCTTTTATTATCATTTAAGATATTATTTTAACCATCTTGCGTTCTTTGATACATCTGAAACTTTGATCCTAGTAACATTTTATACTAAACATCTAGAAATTGTAAATTTCAAAAAATAATATTAAAAAAAAATGCAAAATTGCAGACCCGGTTCATACCTGAACGAAATCAGAAGCTTTAGCGACGAGAAAGTTGACATAAGAAGGAACATCATAATGCAGTTTCCGAAAGAGAGTTGGGAAGTAGGTGTTGATGAAATCGTTAGTACCCGCGCACACAATAAATAAGCTCTCAGATATTATAATCTCCGCCCTCGCCTTGCCGGCTATTGCTTCAACTTTCTCTTTATATTCCTCAAATAGTTTCAGCTGATCCTCCATTGATATCACAGACTGCATTCATTCATTTCATTAACATGTCTATGTTTTGATTTATAATTAACTTTCATTTTTATCACAGTATATATTATGATCGTGCAATTAATTGCTTAACCATTATAATGATGAGTATTTATATCAATTTGCATGTTTATTCGATTCCATCTTTTTAATTATATATTTTAAAGTTATTTATATTTTTTTAATATGATAACTATACTGTCAATTATAAATTTAAGAATAAAAAAGCTTAATGTACATGTCAATAATCTTTTATTTGAAAAATTGTTTCATGTCACATGATCTATTGATGTAATGTGGTAGGAAGATTCAACACAAACTCAGAAGAGAGAGATGGAGAGTACCGCAACGATGGAGGTGATGGGATCATATCCCGTAGATCCAGAAGCGAAGCTCACCCCAGTAAGGAGTTCCTCATCTCCTAATTTAGGGCTGAGATAAGCTGGCACTAGCTCCTTCACTCCAAGACTTGAGGCTAACATTCATATGAGGAATTAAACATTTATCATCTATAGAAATAATTAAATAAAAAAATATATGGCAAGCTTATATTTTATTCTTTAAACCATGGAAAACATCTTTTTATATATATTCATACTGATGGTGGCATATATGTTAAAATTAAAATTTAGGTTTGTCAAATATGTAAATACATAAGAATTGAATGGTATATATGTAAATATTTTAAGAAAATAAAACTGCATGATGAAAGGATGTCTTTTTAATACTTAATTATAAATGTGCTAAATTTATGCCGACTTCTAACTTTTGTGGTGCAGGTTATGCAGGCATGATTTTCATCAACATGCAATAAATGTGCATTAAAGCCGCAATAAAAAGAGCATGAAATAAACATTAGAATTAGTTGAAATCGTGTTTCATCAAACATTATTCACAAATGAATAATTGGATTTTTTTATTTTCTTACAAATAAATAAATCAGAGATGAAAATATAATTGTGTTGATTCAGGTAATTAAATTATTTTGGATTAATTAAATTTTAATATGTGATTTATTTTTTGTATTGGTTACTAAGTAAGTGCTTGTCATGTTAATAATCTACCTATTTAGGATTTAGTAGATAATATATTATTAATTATTAATTAGTTAACTAAATTAAAATTAATTAAATTCACTCGCAGTACTTGTCATCCTCTTCCCCCTCTCTTAGCCAACACCATCACCTACCTCATTTCCCGTCTTTCGGGAGATGCTTGTCCGTCTAGGTGCATTATATCATGTCGTACGTTCAATAACTTGGTACAATCTATCGTAATATTTTCTCGTCTCTCCCTTCACCTGAAACCATTGCCTACCTTTGCCTCTGATCCCCTTTCCCGTCCCCAACCCCTTTCCACTCTCGTGACCGAAACGCTCACAACATAGTCACAACTTGAACTATCTCAAAAGACATTCCTCGTCAACCCGCTCCGCTCCTACGAGCAAGTAACCATCGACTTTCCCCCTCTTCCTCTCTTAATTTGCACACTTCAACTCCCCTAAACCATATAAATCTATCTTCCAACAGGGCCTACTAATAATGACTGTAATGAAGAAAAGCTCAATTTCATTGTTAAGAATGGAAAGCTATTTGGTTTAATGTCGCATCAGAAAGCCAAGCCCAATATACTAAAGACTTATATGCACATGCCATAATATAAGTATATAATTACAGTAGATATAAAAAGTATGTATATTGCAGGTGGGAGTACCTATGATGTCACCAGGAATTTTGCCATTTGAAAATCTCCCAGTGGGAATATGGCCAACAAAATCCTTCCCGTATGGAGGGAAGTTGCACTTGAGCAATGTTTTGATGTTGTTGTTGTTCCCTGAATCAAGAATGGAATCTCCAAACAAAATCACAGCAGGAACAGGAGGCTTAATGGTTTGGTTTACAGCAAAACCTGTAGTTAATTTAGTGGAGAGACATAAGCAATAGAATACTGCTAAAACATGAAGTATGGCTTCTGAATCTCCTTGGGATGTTCTTCTCATTGTTTTCTTCCTCTATCTCTAAGGTTTTCTCTCCATGAGCTGCGCTGAAGTCACTTTATAAGTGAAGAAAGATAGTGTAGAACAGTGAGAAGACACGCTTTGCAAGTGAAGGTCACAGACATATTTACTCAGCATAAAACTGCTCTTTTTAATTAACATAACGGTCCAATAAAAAAACAAGGAAAATTTACATAAATATCACTCGATTGCCGCACATAAATTTACATATCTAATCCCAAAACTTCAACTTTTACTTATAAATAAATGATAAGTAAATATATTTATATTCCTTTTAATATATATATATATAATATATATATATATTGTCATCTTTCTTATGCATGAAAATATGTATTTCACATTCTTATAATTAAAAAAGATATTTTTTTTATGTGATATGAATTTTTAGATAGAATAAATATAAAAAATTAAAATTTAGAGTTAATTAAATTATGGATTTGTGTTTAGTTTTAAAGGGATGTATGTGTAATTTCATGCAAAATCATCAATTTCTAGCTAAGCCTAAAACTAAAGGAGTAATTCTAATATTTATGGTATATGTGAATCTTCAATGTATAATCATGTATACTCAAATATGATATGCACGGATCTTGAGGTAATTTGAAATCTGCTCACGTCATTGGCTATCCTCGGTCAACTTTTCCCCCTAGAGGATGACTCAAACGAAAGACTTTTCCCTCGGACAGAAGACTCCGACGAATCACTTTACCCCCCGACAGAGGACTCTGATGGAGGACTTTTTAGCAAAACACAACAACAACAAAAAGATTAAATCATCTCTTACTACCCTTTTAAAGAAAGGGTAATGTTGTAATTTATTATTTAGAACTCCTGTCATCTATAAATAGGAGAGTCATTCCATGTAAAGCTCTAATTTCATGAAATAAAATGGGTTCACGAGCTAAGGAACACCCCGATTCACCCCTAATGGGGCAAGTCTTTCTCTTCTTCTCTTTCTCTCTTTCTCTCTATCTCTTTCATGCTACTCTTCCCTTGGTCCTATGCTCTATTTCTTGGGTACAATTTGTCGAATATGTTTGGATTCAACAAATCATTTGATCTTATATTTTTGGTGCTTGGGAGGAACTCAAGAGAATAAAAAGTTGAGATAAGAGAGGGAAATTGGAGCATTAATTAAGGGAGTTAGGAGCGGTTTGGTGGTAAGTGGAATATGATGATGTAAACTTGACCCAAATAGCAATTAAGAGAATAGAATAATGAGCATAATTTTTTTTTAATATTACAAAAATAATTAAAATATTTTTTGTTAACTATATGCATAGCATAAGTTTAATTACATATAAATATGAGACAAAAATGGTTATAAATAAATTATGCAAGGGTTAGAGAATTTTTGGCTCAAGTAAAGTTGAATTGAAGTAATTAGTTATGATTATGGGTGTATTTGAGCAAGCTTACTTATGAGCAAGCTCGAGCTAAAATTGATAAGTGGCTCTTGTCAGCTTAGTTTCCTAAGCTAACAAGCCAAGCTCAAGCCAAGACTTCATTAACTCGTTAGTCGTGAGCAACTCTTTAGGATAGTATTAACATAAATATATTTGAAATATATTACTATTCAATATTTTATCTTTAAATTGTTAAAAATACTTTAAAATGATATTTTACATTTTATATCAAATGATTTCTTATTATCTGTCTCCTAACTACTCATTACTTATATAATTTTATTATAACACTAGCTTGAATTAATAATTCTCTTTTATAATAAGCAAGCAAGCTCTTGAATTGCCACAACAAATAGAATTAAATTTGAGTTTGAAACTTGATTAATTAATCAAGATTAAACTCAAATTAAGGATAGCCCGAGCTCAACTTCACTAATTCACATCCCTAGTTAGGTGCATTTTTACAACTCTGCATTATAATAATGCTAAAGAGTAATCTTTGGAAGCCTTTCAAGCAATTATAATTACATTATTCATTCTCTCTTGAAAAACATTTGTGCTAGATTATGAAAGTTTCAATCCGTTAAGAAGTGCTAGATAATTATGTGATTAAATTTAAATGAGATAAATTAGTGGTTAATCTCATTTTTAAACTAAAATGTCAATTTGTAGATAGGATTAATCATTTGATAAAAATATTAAATTTCTTGAGTTTCAAATTGCATTAACCACTTAATTTCAAGTGAATCCCCAACTTCAATATTACTTATTAGATGGTAAATCAAAAGAAATGAAGGTGAATATAAAAGGAATCAAAATAAATAAAGATAATTAGCAATCAAACTCATTTTTAATTAAATATTAAGCATATTGGTAAGGATCTATAATTTAATATGCTTCTTTTAATATATTTTTAAAATATTTAATAGCACATCACATTCAAATGCCGACTCCAAAATAGATAACCCTTAAAAAGATACTAATCGATAGAGATATTTTTGATATGTGATTTTGTTGAGAAATTAAGGTGAAGAAAAACAGAAATCGACACAAATCCAGATGAAAACACAGAGATTTAACGAGGTTCGGCAAAAATGTCTACACCCTCGGGAGCAGAGCGGCGATTTTCTTTCAATTCAGAAAAAGAGTACAGGATTAGTTTTGGCGACTGTTCTTTCAATTCCAGAAAGAGTACAAGATACCTAGGGTTACAAACAAGACATATATATATATATATATAACCTTGACGTACAATATGTAATTGCAAAATTACCCATGTATCGTACCAAAAATATATATAACCCACTCCACTCATGAACTCTGCTCCGCTGGCTCACTCTGTTCGGCTCCAGCAATTGTCCATTATTCTGGTATATGAGTCATACCTAACAGATCTGAAGGATTTGGGTGGTATAAATATAAAAAAGTAAAATTTAGGTGCTAGATGTGTAAATACATTGAAATTAAGTGGAATGTATGAAAATGCCCTAAAAGAGAAATATTTACATGATAGGTGAGCAACCAAAAATGTAGGCTTTAATTTTTCTGACATGCAATAAGGCATGTATAACTGTTCAACTAACTCTTACAGCAGCCATTAATATTCATCAAGCTCAAATTCAAATTCAGTTTTGATGCTTAATGATTTCATTCAGAGGCATTAAAAATTTATAATTAAATATTATTATTTTTCTTGGATCAACTAATATTCTTCTATCAGACATACTTTCAACTCAATAAAAGTAATTTTTTTTCTAATTATTATTAACTATGGTTTCTTAAGATTTTTCTTACTGATTTATTGAAAGATTATACATTTTGTAGTTACGTGTGTCGTGTATCTCGGTCTGTTGATTCACATCCACGATATAAGACCCATCAGGTCGGGGGTTCGAATCCCCTCTGGCACAGTTGGCCTTAAGAATGTGATACTCAAATTGTTAGACACATTAGATGCGGCTATTCCTTTTCTATATATATATATAGAAAAAAATAATACAAAAGTCTTACTTTTTTTAATGTAAAAAAATAGTCATTTTTTTATTTTATTTATTTATTTAATTATAAGTGCAAGTTAAAAATTAAGACAAAAAGAAGCAATTATCACTATCTTAATTATTTTTTTTTTTCGCATATAATAATTTGACACATTCTGAAATATAAAACAAAAAAAAAAATTAACAAAAAATAAAAAAACGCTGAAAAGCAAGTAATTTTGTTAGTTGTTGAACCTGACTGTGGCAAGGTAGTGGCTGAAAATTTTAAAGAGAAATTTACATACAAACCACACAATTCTTATGTATTTACATATCTATGACGAACATTTATATATATTTACATTTAATAGTATTTTGGTGTCATAAATCTTTGCATGAAAATGTATATTTTACTTTTAAAAGTAAGTAAAATTAATATTTTTATGTTATATTAACGATTTGAGTGAAATGCATGTAAATATGAAAGTCTAGGTGTTAGAAAAGTAAATACAAAAGAATTATGTGGGACATTCGTAAATGCCCCAAGTTTAAATCACTAATATAAGAGAAAAATTTGCGTACGTAATACGTACGCAGCGCTGTGGACGTCAGGTAGGCTACAGAGAGGGTATTGAGAGTTATATCGCGTTATACCTCTATAACATCTCTGTAACCTAAATGTAATTAGTAAGTTCCGCGCTTCTGTTTTCATATATTTGTAAGTTGCATGTAGGTTACAGACATGTTACAGGGGGTATAACGCGGATATAACTCTCAATACTCTCCTTCTAACTTATCTGATGTACGCAGCGCTGCGTACGTCTTACGTATGCAAATTTTTCTCCGGAGGCTTGGTTCATATATGTAAATCATTCCATACAATATATATTTGAACATTTAATGGATCTTTAATTCATCTTTTGTGAACATGCATTATGATATTTCTAGCAAGAAAAATACTAATAAAGATATCTAGAACATCCATCATTATTGAATATTTTTATGCCAACATATATACCACACAATTCTTATGCATTTACATTTGCAATGCCTAAACTATCATATTTACATGCATAACATGCAAATCTTTAATTTCACATAATAATATCACATTTTCTTACTTTTTAAGAAAATGAATATACATTTTCATGCATTCATGATATCAAAGTGTCAAAAGTGTAAATATCAAACTTCACATGTTAGATGTGTAAACAAATAAGAATTTGTGTGAAATGTATGTAAATTTACAAATAAAAAATAAATCATACAACACACTTTCACACCTTTTAAATAATATTTATTTATACCACGTGATCGGGATGGACTCAAATGATAAATATAAAATAGGCTATTTAAACATAAACTATTCTTTCCACATCCCACATCAACAACAAACTACTACCAAACCAATAGGGCTAGGGCTGTCAAACCGGCTCGTTGTTCACGAACAGCTCGTGTTCGGCTCATTAAGAAGCTCGTGTTCGGCTAGTTCGTTAAGTTAACAAGCTGAACACGAACAAAACGAACAAATATTTGTTCGTTCGTGTTCGGCTCGTTTTGGCTCGAAATACTACTAATCAATTATATATATATATATATATATGATGAGCAGTATTTTTAAAAAAATTAATTGACTACAAGGCTACAAAGATTTATAATCAATTAAAAATATTAAAAAAGAAAATAGAATAAAAATTATTA